ATTTTCATCCTCTAATGCTGATTAATTTCTATGGTTATAATTATAGAGCACAGTTTTTTGGTGGTAAGGTTTTTATAACATCACTTAGTAAACACTTCCCCATTTTATCACATGGTTTTCATTATACAGGATTCCATCATGTTAGCATATAATAATTTAGCTTACCATTATTGGACATTTAGATTGTTTCTGATTTGTTTGTTTGTTTTTGAATTTTTATAAGAGTTCATTTGAACCAAAATGATGACATATGCCAGGGAGCAAGATCTCAAATGCTCCCTGTTTCTGTTTTTTTGCTAATATACGTAATGTTACCATAAAGAAGTGAATCACTTTTACCCTACTGAAAAAAAAAGAAAATAAAAAGTGAACAAAAAGAGGAAATAGAAGAACTAATATTTCACAATACTAAATGTATAGAACTGAAAAAGAATTAAAGAGAGAGAGAGAGATCACTTATGAGGCTCAGATTTGTAACAGCCTTGGCTTCAGAACCAAACTCCCAAACCAGAAATGTGTGGAGAAAAAGTATTTGAACATGTCAAATACGAACTGTCACAATATCCCCAACCTTGTCCTCATGCCCTAGCAGAGCTTCTTATACATACATACTCAGAACCTAATGACTCTTAACAACAGTTCTTAATTTTTAGTTGATTCCCAGCCTTACAGAAAATTAATATCAGCTGAAGTTAAGGTTGGTTAGAAGCAAAACGGCTTACTTCAGGGAGAAGTGATAGGTGGAAGTCTCAGGTCAAAGGAAATAGGGACATAGAGTTGTGCTATGTATGACAGCACAGGACAATACCCAATGTCTTATTGGGTTAGTGCTTTGTGCCTCTTTTGAAGAATTCAAAGAATTAGAAAATATTTTAGGAAAATTTCCATGAAAAAATGTCAGAAGTAAACAGAATATTTCTGCTTGAAAGGAAAAGTTTAATTCCTGAGAAAACTCATTTATGTGGAATGCTGCATTCCTAGATGATATCTAATAAAAGAGGTATAACTATATGATAAAATTATTATACAGGAGTTGGTGGTTGAAATTTTTGGTGAAAAATAAGTCTTCACATGGGACAAAGATATTTATGTTTGAGGTCTGTGTATGTGTGTGTGGTGTGTGTGTTCACATCATAAGAGGGGCTCCTATCTAACAAGAGTACAGCCTGTTTTTCTTCCCTCTTGGGCACTAATAAATGAATTCACTTTAACGAGTTGTTCACATAGACATTAAGTATTTTTTCCTGATTTCTTATAAGCATTCTTAATCTAATTTAAATATTGTATACAGATTTAAGTCAGTAATGGAACCATCCTCCCTGTCCCCTCTAGGCTTTTCATTTAGTAGCTGAAAACATTCCCTCCCCATCTTCCCATCTTTAAGATGATATGAAACTTGAGGACTGGACTATGTCCTGCTCACTATTGCGTCTTTCTTGAGTGCCACAGAGCTTGAAACATAGTAGACATTTAAAAATATTTCTTAAATTGGTGAATTAATTTCCATTGCCCCTCCAAAAGCGTTTTTGTAGATTTACTTTAAATATTTCTAACTTAGTGCATGTTTAATATTTATAATGATAATGGATCATCTCTCTCAAAAAATAAAGTACTATCAAGTGGCTTTATTCTGCTCCTGTAACTGCCTTGGCCTCCAGGCCCACAGCTTGGTAGGGAACCTAGACAGCCCTGAGCTCTGCCACCTAATTACAGCTAACCACTTGTGGTATGCCAGTTGATGGTCAAGGCGCCATGACAGATGGCTGGTTTACCTCCAGATGAGTCTTTCTTCAGATGCCTGCCCAAGAAAAGACTTGGCTGGGATGGTAAGAGGAAGAAGCAAGGTAATGGACTGCCAGTGTTTCCTCTGACTCTTCTCCTTGTTCAGAGATTTGGTTCTATCTCAGAAAATCCATAAGCTGGCTACTACCGTGCTTCCCTGAAAATAAGACCTAACTGGAAAATAAGCCCTAGCATGATTTTTCAGGATGCTCGTAATGTAAGCCCTACCCCAAACATAAGCCCCAGCTAAGATCGTCAGCCAGACATGACTGTTTGAATAAAGGTAGATTTTTGTACGTGAATAAATGAATAAATGTAGATTGTTGGAGCAAAAATTAATATAAGACCCAGTCTTATTTTTGGGGAAACACGGTAGGGTCGCTGTTGAGATGCCTGCTAAGGAGTCTGTTGGTGAAAGCCCACCTGAGTCTCAGAGCAGTAGCCACAGCAGACTGACTCAATTGACACATGCCCCGGTAGACCTGTTCACAGCATCTCAGCACCTTGCTCCATACCCAATAATTGTTAAGATCCTCAGAAAAATGTGTGTAGGACAAATGAATTTCAAAATTTGTGAATGGATTTTAAACCTGGTTACAATGTACTGATAGCCCACAAACATGCATAGTTTTTAAAAGAACACTATAACAGAGTGAAAAGGCAACCCTTGAAATGGTATAAAATATTTGCAAATCGCATATCTGATAAGGAATTAATATCCAGAATATATAAAGAATTCCTACAATTCAACAGCAACAACAACAAAAAACGCCCCAATTTTTAAAATGGGCTGAATACTTAAATAGACATTTCTCTGAAGAAGATATACAAATGGCCAATAAGCACATGAAAAGATGTTCAACATCACTAATCATAAGGAAAATGAAAATAAAATTACAAAGAAATTGTACTCCACACCCATTAGGATGACTTCCTTCAAAAATGCATTGCTTAGAAATTAGAAGATACCTAAATGCCCAACAAAAGTATATTCAATAAATACACTATAGTATATCTATGTAATGGAATGCAGTGTCATTAATAATTCTATTCATAAAGATCAATGACTGAAAGATGTCAAACTGACAATAAATGACCCAAAGTTTTGGAAGACAAAAGGGAACTGTTTATATATGGAAAATAATGTGTTTGGTTATCTCTGAGGAATGCAAGCATGGGTGAATTTTTTGTTTTGTTTTTACTCATCTATATTTTCTAAATCTATAATAAACACATAGTATGTTTGTGATAAGAAGAAAAGCATTTGTTTTTAACTTTCTTAACTTTGTGTAAGTACTTGGTAGCCACTGATAGGTCATCCTGAATAATGTTCGTTCAGGTCATTATTTGCTTCTTCCCTTCATTTCTTTTTTTTTTTTTTTTGGGGAGTTGGGGGATGGGAACAGTGCTGGGGAATTGGGGGAAGGGGAACAGACAAGTTGCTGTCCTTTTTTTTTTTTTTTTTTTTTTTTAGCTGAGCCATTATGCCACCTATTGGTGGCTCAGTGGCAGCTCAGCTCGGGCCGGGAATCAAACTCACACTCTTGAGTGAGCTCTTAACCAACTGAGCCACTCAGCCGGCCCTTCTCTTCACTTCTCACTTCTCATCCACATGTGCTAGTTATTTCCAGCCTTGGTCACAGGGGGTGAGGTAGTGGGTACCTTCGCAAACATACTTGAGTTTCTACAATGAGAATATAAGCTTTCTAACCAAAATTTATGTTATATCTATTTTTTTATCAAGGTGGATCCAACCGAAGAGAAAGGGGTGCCCCACCCCTTCCTCCCACCCCGAGGTGATCCTTGCCTGCTCTTCTCCACCCGAGCCCAAGAGCTACTTCTGTTGTTGTTATCAAGAGTTGCACATTCTCCTCCCCTCATCTTCCCCTGTCCCCTCCATATTGGCAGGAGGAAAGAAGAGAGGGTGACGTAGGAATAAGTATGTGCAGGGTGGGAATCTGGTGAAGAAATGCACCTAGGTTTTTATATAGTGTATACTCTCAAAGCTATTGCTTGCTTCAGCTACAGCCTGCCAGCGTTGACTGCTTGGGGACCGATTGGCTTTTATGGCAAGTAGGCAGAGATGAATTGTGTCCTAGTTTTCAACCAGCCAAATTCAAACATTCACTGCTTATTTGCTGCAGATGATATTCAAGTCCCTGAGAGCTGCTTGCTTTCATGCCTTTTTTGCATGTTTGGCCTTCTGTCCGTTTCCATGAACCACAGACCACCTAAGCAAGTTGCTGAGTGAGGGCTCACATGGAATTTTTGTGGTTATAGGTTAGTCTTTGGCATTCTGAGGTAGGCTCTAGCACAGAGCTGTCCAACAGAAATATAAAGTGAGCCACATATACAATTTAAATATTTCTCATAGCCACATTAAAGAAGAAATAGGTGAAATTAATTTTAATATATTTTATCCAAAATATTTTGACCTGCAGTTCATATAACAATTATTAATGAGATATTTTACATTTTTTTATACTAAGTCTTCAAAACCTGGTTTGTGTTTTATACTCAAAGCACATCTCTACTTGGACTAGTCACATTTCAAGGGCTCAAAGCCACATGTGGCTGATGACCACCATATTGGGCAGTGCAGGTCTAGAAGACAGAGGCTAACACAAAAGCCTCTTGTTTAAAAAACAAAAAATGCAAGATGAGCTTTAGCCATTCAAGTGGTAACTAAAAATCAAGTTAGGACCCAATGCCTTGTCTGGCAGACAGCTTGATCCTAGATTTTGCTTCCTTATTTTTCATTTTCCATTAATATCTGTATACAAGCATTGTTTCATAGTACCAAGGTCAGAAATTGATCTAATAGGGTTTACAGTCACGTGGAATAAAGCCATTGGAAAGGAACTGAAAGCCTGTTGGGACTTCCGGGCTCAGAATCAGCAGGCTGGAGCTCACCTGACAGCTGAACTCCTCCTTGTGCGTTTGAAGTGGCTTCCTTTGTCTCCTGCCCACCTTGCTCCTCAGGGCAGGGAGGCACGTAGGCTCTGTAGTGGGGGAAAGTCAGGGAAAGGTAGCAAATCAGAACGCGGAAGAAGGGACCAGATTTAGGAGGATGGGCAACTCTAAAAATCTAAATCTGATGCTTATGGGGTTGTGAGAAAGAGACTGCTACTGGAAATTGGAGGGGATTTGTTTTGAATCTATCCAGGAGAAACGTTTGCCTTGGATCTATGCAAATAAAGCTCCCAAAAGGACCATAGGGAAGAGCCAGCCTTGCCTTTTTTTTTTTGTATGATTTTGTTTACAGACTTTACTGGGACTAATTTTTTTCAATTTAGATGTTTTATATGGTTGATTAAGTTTAAAATTACCATGAAAAAGTACATGGTCACATGTGTGTGTGTGTGTGTGTGTGTGTGTGTGTGTGTGTATACATATATAGGTATATATATACCTATATACCTAAACTTTGTATCATGGTTTCAGCGCATTGTTCGTGTATTACTGGGAAATGCTAACAAGAAATCAGTCCAAAGAAAAATTTGAAAGAAGCATTCCTATTTATAGAATAAATGTTTCATTTATATAAAAGCAAAAGAACTTAGAGTTCTAAGAAATGGGGTGTCTAATAAATGATAATGCTACCCATTTGAATATATTGTATTTTTATAACTTTCCTTGCCAAAGTCCTGGGCTTAGTACATTAGAGAACTTGGGTTTTTCGCCCCTCTCCTCTACCATTCATTTGTCATTCAGTCACTTGGGGCCCTTTACCCAAAAAGAATCAAGAAATATAAAGGTATAACAAGCTCTGCAAAGTATTTTCAAAAAAAAAAATTATCTCTAGTATTTTGGTAATATAGCAGCATCGTTTTATTTTGGATTCTTCAATGAGATATCAACTGTTGATTCAAATCCCTATGAGAAAGCCTAATGACCCAGTTTAGAAAAGAGGCCTTCCTAGCAAATATGGCAGAGAAAAGTTTGACCCAAAGGAAGTGGATCTGAATTTTGTAAAGGGTAGTAAAGTGGCCCATTTCCTTGTATATCCCAACTTTGCAGGTGCTATCCTAAAGTTTGAAAGAGGGTCACAGCTCAAAGTAGCCATTCACCCAGGATAGAGATATTTTAGAGTGTGTTTTTTAAGTGA